TTTTTTTTGGTTTTTTGAGACAGGGTCTCACTATGTAGTTGAGACTGAACTGGAACTCATTATGTAGCCCAGGCTGGTCTCAAACTCACAGCGATCCTCCTGTCGCAGCCTCCTGAGTGCTGGGATTACAGGCGTGCGCCACCACACCCCGCTCTCTAGAGATTCTTTTAATCAGCTGACATTTATAATCACCTCAGTGGTTCTTAACCCAGGAGCGCTTTTGTTCTTCCAAGGCCATTAGGCAATGCCTAGAGACACTTTTGGTGGTCACGACTGGCAGAAGTGCCACTGGTATCTAGTAGGGCTCAGGGACACTGATAAACATTCCACAATATCCACGCCAGGTCCCCGTATCCAAGAACAATCTGGCTTCAAATGCACATAGTGTCCTCATCCAGACAGTGGTTATATCAGTGGGCCTGCTACTTTCCAAACAGTGATGCTCTTTCATTCTCAGAGAGCCTTCATTTTCCTCTTATGACTTGGCCCCCTTCCTTCCTGAGCAGACGCGGACACCTTGCAATTAGCACCTACTCCCAAATCCAAATTCTTCTGTCCCCACCTGGGCCCCATTGGGGAAAGGCATTGTGGGTTACCTGGCTTCCTGAGCCTGGCCCATGCCTAGCACCCTTGCCTCTCATGAGGGGCTTTCTAGGTGTTGGAAGACTTGGAGGTAGTAGCTGTTAGCACTTGAAGGATCCTCAGCGTGAATCATGTACTTGGACGTTTCAGACAGAATTAAAGGAGGAGAAAGAAGTAAGTCCCATTTTGTGATTCTGGCACATCTACGCCTGGCCACAGCTTGCAAGAAGCTGGAGACTGAGGAGGCTCAGGAATTGAACTTGGACCCTGGAAGGTCAGAGGCTTCACCCCTCCCCCAGCCAAACAGGAAGTGGTTCTGTTGGCCCACAATGCCAAGCTCTGGGTATTCTGCAAGGGTAAGTCTTGGCTATCTGTTCCTCCTCCTTGCATTTCCCCCACTCCACCCAGGGAGGGAAAATTAGGAAAGGCTGCCTCAGCACTCTTCTCTCCTCGCCTCCTTATCAGTTCCCTGAGCCATCCTAGGAGCCAAAAATAAACATTCCTCCCCAACTTCTGGGTCCTTACATAAGTGTCAGGTGTCGGAGGGCAGACAGCTCTCTGGGCACAGCTGTTAAGTGGTTTCCTTCCAGGTACCTGAAAGAGAGGTGCAGAGCGACATGAGGGACAAAGGCTGCAGAACTGGTCACTTTCTCAGACAGGCTTTTGTGACCTTACGGGCTAGTTTGATTCCCTTTTTTACTCGCTTATAGCCTATTTATTTTTCTCTCCAAAGCACATACTACATTTGTCATTTAATATTGTGTGATTATTCTACTAAGGAAGTTTACCTTCCCTGGACTGATAAGTTTCATGATGTAGGGCTCTTGTCTAAAATTACCCACTACGGAATCCCCCAAAGGCTCATGTATCTGTTTAATAAATCAAATACTCAATTTATGCTAAGTCATCACAATACCCTCATATAGCAGATATTTAGTTCAGAGATGTTAAAAAAAACTTGTCCAGGGGCCAGGATTTAGCTCAGTGGCATCAATGCCTCCCTTGCAAGCACAAGGTCCTGAGTTCACCCCCAGTACAGCAAAAAAAACAAAAAACTTGCCCAACATCACACAGCAAGCAAGTGGCTGAGCTAGGACTTGAACCCAGGTCTCTCTAACTGTATTCTCACGACAATTTTTTTAAATTGAGTTTATTGGTACATTTTAGGGATACAGTACAGTTGTATTCATTGTTAGGATCTTTTACCTTTACACGACAGGTCTTGGTTCTCATTTTTTTCCCTTGTCCCTGCCCTCCCTTCACCCTCTCACCACAATTTTGTACAGCCTCTATTTGGCTCCTGGAAGGTGGTAGAAGCGATCCAAAATTCATATTAGAGACTTTAATATTGAGCATCTCCAATGGGCATTTGGAAAGTCAGAACAGAAAGCCAGGAGTGGTGGCATACATCTGTAATCCCAGCACTCAGTAGGCTGAGGCAGGAGGATCGCTCCAAGTTTGGGGCTAGCCTGGGCTACAAAAGGAATTCAAGACCAGCCTGAATTAAATGGTGAGACCCTTTCTAAAAAAAAAGGAAAGAAAGAAAGAAAAGAGGGCTTGTCTGTTACCTAGAACACTGCTATGGCTACCAGCAGGAGGACAGGGACAGGCCAAAAGGGAGAAGGCTTCAGGATGAAGATGTGCTGAACAGAAGAGGCCTCTCTTGGACAGATAAGGGCTTAGCCTGGACTGTGGAGTTTTGCACTCAGTGAGGGTGAGGCAGGAAGCTCAAGTGTGGTTTAAAATCAGATAAGGAGGTGGGCCGGTGATTTAGCTTAGTGGTGCCACCGCCTGCCTCATAAGCACAAGGTCATGGGTTTGATCCCTGGTTAAAAAAAAAAAATCAGAGAAGGAGGTTCCACTGAAATTACACACAAAGTCCGCTACTACCTATCAAGATTATGACTATGACTACCCTCCAGGGGGGCACAGGCCAGTGCGCTCACTTCTACTCTTGCTATAAACCCCCTTTCTAGAGCCTCCTATTGCGCTCAGAACAAAACTGCGAAGGTTACAAGACGTGCTGGAATCTTCAGAGCGGATTTCCCTTGGCTGGCAGCTCTCAACATGTTCACTGTCACACACGCCACTCTCAGTGCATACTCCATCCAGGCAATGGCCGCCTTCAGCTCTAGGGCAGACTTCCCGACTTCGGATCTATCTTTTGCTAGCTCAGTGCTTCTCCAAGCTTAGCTTACGTGCAAATCACCTGTAATCTTGATAATAAAAAGCGGATTAAGATCCAGTAAGTCTGGGGTAAGTTGGAGAATCTGTACTACCAACAAGCTGTCTGGTAGTGGGAACCACTGGTCTATAGACCACACTGAGTAACAAGGTGTGAACACAGTGCCCAGTGCCTTTTGTCCACTACCACAAAGTGAATGGGGGAAGAAATGAGTTAAAACAGGTAAATGGGCAAGTTTGGCATTGACTGAACCGGGTTTAGCTTTATAATAAAGGCTCTTCCTATGGTCAGCTCCTAGGGATTCTCCATGGCACAGAACACCAGGTAGGACTTGAGAAGTAAGGTCTTTGGTTGCCATGGGATCCTGGATTAATGTCCCTTTGGTCTTTGATACTTTTGGGTATCTATTACATACCAAGAACTATGCTAGATGCTGGGAAAGCAGATTCCATGTCTGTCTTCACAAAGTTTTCACAGCTGGCCTAATATTCAGCCATGCTTACATGTTGCCGTCAGGCATAAGAACTAAGAGAAATCCATTAGCTCACGTATTCGTTCATTCAGGCACAGCTATGATTCCAGGTACTGAATGTACTGGTGAATAAGACAGCAGCAATGCCTGCTGCTTGTGCATGATTAAAAACCTGGTGGCAGCTGGGCACGGTGGTGCATGCCTGTAACCAGCCTACTCAGGAGGCTGAGGCAAGAGGATCATAAATTTTTTTTTCCATTAAGTTAAGATGATCATAAATTTGAGGCCAGCTTGGGTAACACAGTGAAATCCTTTCTCAAAAAAACGAAACAAAACCCAAACTAAAACACACAAAAACTAATGGAAGAGAGTAAAGAGAGGGGCCATACCCACAGAAAGATATGAACTGACTATTACAGTCGGTGCTTGCAAGGGAAGGAGCAGAGTGCTGTGTCGGACAACACCCAGGGGCTCAGTGCAGAAAGCAGCAACTGAGGACAGATACAAGGTGAGCAACGGCAGATGTGGGAGAGAGGGAGGCCAGCCCAAGGGCAGCTTGTGGAGGGCCCCACGTTTGAGCATCAAAGCAGGGAAAGAAGGTGGAGAAGATGAAATCTCATAGGCTGGGAGCACAACGGACACAAAGCAGACCACACTGAGGCCTGGGAGGTCATCTCACTTGAAGCGGATGCAGAGGTGAGGCTGATCAGGACTTGCAGGTGCTCTCTCCCGTCCTTCCCTGAACGGGAGGCTGCAGGGCCTTGGCATTTGATGTGGACAGTGGTCCTGTACCTCAGCAGGGTCAGGGCTCAGTGGGGTGGGGGTAAATACAGGGGAGGCCTCCAGCTTTCTCCGCTGGGCAGGGAGATGGGATAGTAGGATTTGAAGGTCTGCACAGGCTGAAGGGCTCTGGCCTGCACACCCACAGGAAGTGTGGTGTGGAGAGTGGTATGTGGGGGGAGTTGGGAGCAGGTGGCTAGATGAAGAAGCAGGGCAGGCCATGAGGCAATGTTCTAGGGAGCATCTCTCCTGAGGGAGACTCACTCTTGGGAGCTGCGGTGTCTGACAACACATGACAGCTTACATCTCGGTGTCTCCCCCAAAAGCCTCATGCACATGTAGGCGGAGCTTTTGGGAGGCGACTGGGTCATGGCTGTGCGATGCTGGGAAGTGAAGCCCAGTGGGAGGAGGTGGATCACTGTGGTTGTGGTCTGGAGGGTACACATCCCTCAGCTTTCCTTGATCCCCCACGCTGCCTCCTGCCTGTCCGGCCATGGACTGTTTCTCCTCTGTGGCACTCCTCTGCCACGCCCCCCTGCCTTGGAGCCAGCCGACTATGGACTGAAACCTCGCCACACTGTGAGCCAAAATAAACCTTTCCTCCTTTACCTTGTAGGTGTTAGGCATTATGTCCCAGCAATGAGAAAGTAACTAAGTTACAACACTTATCCTCTTCTCCGCTCCCCTCATTCTGCACGTTCTCTGGTTTCCACTGGTTTGTAATGACTACTTAGTATGATAGTTTTCTTTCTTTTGGTACCGGGGATTGAACTCGGGCCCTTGCACTTGCAAGGCAGGCAGCGTACCTAGTACAATAGAAACCAGAATAAAATGCCCAAATGTTGTTTCTCTTTGCTGGGATATTTGCAGAAGGCACTGGAGAAGCACAGATGAAGGCGCCCATTAGTTAGGCTTGCTCTGTTCCTTAAGGTAAGTAACTTGTTATGATATTTCCATTACATTTGTAAGAGTAGGAAAGGTGTATTGGGGAATAGGAATAGCTCCAAGAGAAAGGAGAGGTTCCAAAGGTGGCTTGCCAATGAATCCACTTGTCAGGGGTAATTTATAGCAAAGTCACACTGTACCGTATACCTAAAATGTACCAATAAACTCAATGAGAAACAAAACAAAACAAAGTCACAAATGTGACTATAATGTAGGTCAAAGTATAATCAACTAATAAGATTAAATACCGAATAGTTTCTCTGGTGTGAAAAACTATAATTGTAAGATCCTAATGATATAATTGACAATGTGAAATAGGAAGACAAGGGCTAAAGGCATAGGGGAAGTGGGAAGGGTAGGGGAAAGGAAATAAGGGAAAACAAAAAATAGGAGAAAATGAAAAAATGGAAATAAAGTTTTCGTAAATAGGGAAGGGAGGAGGGGGTGAAGGGAGGGCAGGGGTATGGGGAAAAAATGGGAACCAAGACCTGTCATGCAAAGGTACAAGATCCTGATGATGAATGTAACTGTACTGTATACCTAAAAAGTACCAATAAACTCAACGAGAAAAAAAAAAGATTATGATAATAGCCACTCAGCTAATATTGCTCCAACAGGGAAGTGGGGCATGGAACCAGGGTAGATGGCTGACATCATTAACCTTGGCTTATCTGTGACTTCTAAAACAGGAACATTTTGGGAAGGGATGGACCCAGATGTTCTGGTCTGATGTACTACTGGACTGGGTGTGACTAATTACAGTTCTGCGTAAGCTATGTAACTTTACCTCACAGACAACACAGGACAAGGACAAGACTAGAACTCAAAGCAAACTCACCAGTGCTCTCTGAGGTTTAGTTCCAGTGCTTTGGGATAGACTCAAGCCTGTTACCTCACCTAACCCTCTGGAACTGGGATGGAGGGTATTTTGCTAAGGCTCAGAGAAGTAATCTTACAATGAGTGTAGGAACAGGATTTAAACTCACGTCTGTTGGATTTTGGAGCATGAGAAGTCAACTCAATGCAGTTTCATCTTTGTACTTTGAATTCCTTATTGTCAACTTAAGTCATTATAGTTTTAACCAAGGAGGGCTGGTTAAAGGACCCCACTGAGACCAAAATTCAAGGATGCTCAAGTGCCGTCCCCTGCCTTATAAGCGCAAGGTCCTCAATTTGATCCTCGACACAATCAATCAATCTGCATCATATCTG